AGTATGTCAGCTCATCTCATTTCCACTGCCTCCAATTTCCCCCAGCACCCCCCAGCACCTCAGGTTATATTGATTCTCCCACCTGGAGGGTCTACTTTGCCTGGTTATCCAGACATTCTGTGTGTGTCAGGCAGTCAGTATGCAAAAAGTTACAGCTGTCCACTATACCACTCCCAACTCACACAAACATCACACTCCAAACAAACAAGCTTACAAGCTGACACACTTGCCCATATTCCCAGTCTCCTCACTGGCTTCCACATTGTTGCCTGAGTCTCTTTAGCCCACAGTCAGTTTGGGATTCAGTGCTCCCATAATCACCATTGGGTTTCTGGGATTACCCTGCCCCTTTCAATTCCGGCTCTGAAAAGCTCTAGTTGAAAGGGCAGTTTCTGTTTTGGTTCAAGTTATCTCATCAGGTTTCTGTGGTCACTCTCCCAGTTGGTGCCTGTGGCCCAGCCTATAACATAAATAGATGGTGACTACTGTACCAGAATTACCTCTAGGATAGGCAGCTTAAAGAAGAGGGCTACAAAGGGTCCTTGACTTGGAAAGCATGAGGCTGAGAAAAGGGTTAAGACAGTAGAAGCTACATCTAAAGAGGCTGAGGTCAAGCCACACAGTTATACAATATATTTAAGTCCCTACAATGTGCTAGGCACTATTGCAATCCAGTGGTGAACAAAACAAATACAGTCTCTGACCTCACAAAGCTTACATTGGTGGGAGAGGTAGTAAATAAACACTAAAAAAGAAATATATAGAAATACATATACATATATATTAAATTCATTATGACAAAAGAGATCCAATATTAAGGAGGTCCACTTTAGACTGGGTGGGGAGAGAATGTCTCTCTGAAGAAGTGTCATTTAAGCTGTGACCATGTGAAGTGTCAGGGATAGAGATGGACAAGATGGAGAGCAGAAGATGTGAATATCTGTGAGAGAGATGAATGTTCAAAGAAGGGAAGAGGGCTTGTTTGCCTGTAGCAGCATGAAAAAGGGAGTGTAAGTTCTTGGATAAGGTTTTAGACAAGTGAACATGGGCCAGACCTTTGCAGTACTACTCTGTGTTAAGGCCTCTGGACTTAAGTACAGTGGGAAACCACTGGGCTTTAGGCAGAGGCATGAAGTCTTCCTGAGTGCCATCTGCCCCAGAAATGGCTCCAGTTCTGGGTACCAAGTCTTCTGGAACAACACAAGAATGTCAGCTCCAAGAGTTCAGATTTTTATCTCTATTGCTCGCTGCTCTATTCCCATGCCTAAAATAGCAGGAACTTGGTATACATTTTTGAGTAACCAGTATTGTCTCTAAGGACAATAGGCCTTCTTTACGACTGCAGATTTAGCTCATACTCAGTTTCAATGGCTCTGCTCTCCTCTAAGCATCTAACTATGGTTTCAGCATCATAGAAAAGAAAGCTTCACCAAAAATAAAGTTTAACCCTCAAGCATATATCCCAAGAGCCAAAAGCTTTTTAAAATAGAAGTCTATCTATTTGGTGTTTTGGTCACAACAGTCTTGTTGGGGAGGGAGAACAATAGTTTCATATAGTGTATATAGTAAGTATTAGGAAACCTACAGTTGCAAGTAAGAAAAAAATGCAAATTGTGAAGGAGTGGTAGGAGAGTATTGGTAGAAAGCTGAAAGTTAATGGTTCATGTAAGTAAGAGTTCAGAGGTAGATCTCCAGCCAAGATGTTCAGGCATTGTCATTAGGATCCTGTCTCTTCCCATCCATACTCCAATTCCCCTTACAGGCTTTATTCTCAAATAAGGTCTTCCCAAATGGTCATAAGGTCAGCTGGTAGTAGATCTGGGTATACAGACTACCAGTCTAGCAACCCTAGTAAAAAGAGAATGCCTCTTTCCCATAGTTTTAGTCACTCTATTGGCTCTGATTGGCCTGATTTGGTTTACATATCTATTCCTGAACCAATCACTGTGACCAAAGGAAGGTACTACACTTTGTGGCCACAACTAGATGGTTTTCCCACCACTGAAGCAGGGGAGAGCAGTCAACCTCACCTGAAACCCACGTACAGAGAGGGGTCATTCTCTAAGGGAAAACCAAGATGCTAACGCCAAAAGAAAGGGAAGCGAACGTTGGGTAGACAAGTAAAAAGCCAAGTACATAGTGTTAAGAATCATTTCTATGCGAAAAAATATGGAAGGCAGAGAATGACTAATAAACAATTGGTTTTTTCAAAGGAACACACATATGATATGAGTAAAAACCTTTAAATAACAGACTCTATGTATATAAACTTCCTGCTATTTTCTCAAGGTTCAGCTGGGTGCAAATTTCAAGTGAACACTCCAATCAATGCATGCACTTGGAAAAAAAACCACAGCTTTCAATTGATGTTTATCCTGACATGCGACAGGAAAGCAATAACCATTTATAAAAATTTTATGCATTTCTAAGGAATTTTTAAATTAATATTTTAAAATTAAGCTGAATATTGTTACAATGTGAAAAGCTAAATGTGGCACTTATCTAAAACTGCTATATGCTATCTGCATAGTATTAAGAATTACTTGTGTTTTGGACCACTTATTTACTTAATCAAAAATGTACTCAGTTTTGAGAATCTTTATACTTAATCAAAAGCTTCAAAAATCTTAAGAGTAAATCTGGCTGAACCAAATATGAGAACATTGAAAAATGCTAATTGCTGTGAAACATTATTGGAATAATAAAGTAGACCTTGAAACAAATTCTACAATAATGAAGTCATTCTTTAAAGAGAATGACTGAAACTGAAGAGGAAAAAAAAAAAAAAAAAAAAGAACTGATTAAGGAGAACTACAACTACCAGATATGCAAAATCAGTAAGCTGCAATCAAGATGGAAAAGCACGACAGAGGCAATATAATACAACTTTTGAGTCTTGCAATGCTAGTAACAGGGAAAAGTATTAAACACATTGAGTAAAACCAATAATATACTATTAACGACTATAAAGATTTGCAAGAATAGTATGTCAATATAGCTGAAAACAACAAAATAAGCTCAACTTTAAGCTTCCATAAAAGGGTGACTAAGAAAGAGTCAAAACTAAGTAATCAATAGTCTTATTAATTGCTATATCACCAAAGCCTAGAATAGTACCTGGCATACAGTGGACATTCAATGTGTTTTGTTCAATTAAAAAACAGAATATGTAACCACTCTGCCCAGTTACTTTCATTAATTAAAAGAGAACAATTTGGCATATCATTTGGTGAATCCATTCACTCTTTGTCTTTTTTTTTAAATAGGCTTCATGCCCAGTGTAGAATCCCAACATGGAGCTTGAACTCACCACCCTGAGATCAAGACCTGAGCTGAGATCAAGAGTTTGATGCTTAATCAACTGAGCCACCCAGACACCCTTCATTTGGTGAACCCAATACAGAATTTACGTGAATGTGAAATTACAATTAACTATACCCAGTAAGATTCTGCCAGTCATATGTTGGGGTATATAAGTTTTCAGGTCTGAGAAAGTAACAAAAATCATACCTACTATTTGTATTTCGTAGATTTTTATGGCTACAACCAAGATTCTATATGTATTGTTTACAGAATACCAAGTTCTATGTTAGGTTTCCCCTAAAGGCATATTCTGAGACAAGGACTGAATACACATTGTTTACTTGAAATAGTGACCTTGACAGGGAAATGAAAATACAGAAAAGTAAAGGCAGCTATTACAGGGTGCATTATTTAAGCCAACTACCACAATGGACACCACAGGGAAGCTCTGTAATTATTCCAGTAAAGGGGTGAGGAGCCTGGTATTTATACCTCTATAACCATAAGTCACTGGGTTAAGGGCCATCGCCTAAGGAATACTACTTCTCACATACTTTCAGCCTGCACAAACATGTAGACAAACTGAGTTTTGGTAGCCCAAAGTTAGCCCCCAACAAAGATGTATTTGCTGGCCCTTAAAAATCAAGCGGGCATGCCTGGAAATACTAAGAGAATCTGAAAGGATATGTGTGGCACTCATAGTGTCTGCTACAAAAGGCAAGAAATGGCAATTGGTATGTGAACGGAAAAGCCTCTAGAGTAAAAAGAGATGATAATAAAATAAAACTGTAACTTCATAGCACCATGCTAAACAGCCTACTACTGTCCACACTCAGTAAATCACTGCTGCTTGATGGAAGAGTGGATAAATGAATTTAAGACCGAGCTATCCAGGAACAGATACACCAGAACAGCACACATAGCCAAAGCAGCCCACTTGCACTGAGCTCTGAAATTTATTTTTGAAAGTTCACTCTTGACAACCTAGCTACGAGGGGATGGTTCTCACATAGGACTTTTTTTCTAACAAATAGTTATATACTCCATTTAGCCATAGAATGCCAAAAATAAAGATGATAGATTAAACACTAACAATTTCTCCTAATATAAACACAATTATAAAGTCAACTAAAAATCTAAAATAAAAAAGCATCTCGAAAGAAGTGCAGTCATTTAACTTCTTATTCTCTGCATATCCTAAATCTCCCACATTCTTTCTCAAAATCTAATGGCATTTCAAGATTAAATTTTTAACCCAGATTTCACATCTTATTACATACAGTCCTACAGCTAAATTTTGCTTTCAAAAAACTTTTTAAGTTTACTTATTTATTTTTGAGAATAAGAGAGAGAGGCAGAGAGAGAGGGAGACAGAAAATCCCAAGCAGGCTCCACGCCATCAGCACCAAGCACAATTTGGGGCTCGATTTCCTAAACCTGAGATCATGACCTGAGCCAAAACCAAGAGTGGGACACTTAACGGACTGAGGCACCCAGGCGCCCCCAGAAATATTGTATATGTCAGTTCAATATTCTTCAATTAGAGGTGAATTATCAATTCTGATATATGTTTGGTTTTTTGTTTTGTTTTGTTTTTTGTAAATTAAGCTAGAGACACAGGAAGTAAGGTATTCTTTGTTTTCCAAAGGGGATCAATCTGAGGTTTATTAAAGTTGATAATGAGTCCTTTAGAAAAAGCAGAAATCGAGTACAGCCCCAAGATTCGAAGATGCCGCCCAAGGGAAAAAGCCATTCCGGGAAAGGGGGGAAAGGGAGAGCAGCCTTTGGGAGTGACAGTTCTGACAAGAAGGCTCAGGATCCCAAAGGTAGTGGCAGTGCAGTAAAGGTCAGACACATTCTGTGTGAAAAACATGGGAAAATCATGGAAGCCATGGAAAAGTTGAAGTCTGGAATCAGATTCAATGAAGTGGCCATACAGTATAGTGAAGATAAAGCCAGGCAAGAGGGTGACTTGGGTTGGATGACCAGAGGTACCATGGTGGGACCATTTCAGGAAGCAGCATTTGCCTTGCCCATAAGTGGGCTGGATAAGCCTGTGTTTACAGACCCTCCGGTTAAGACAAAATTTGGATATCATATTATTATGGTTGAAGGGAGAAAATAAAATTGTACGCAAGACTGAAAAAAAAAAAGAAAAAGAAATCAATTCTGAGCAAGAAAGTTAAGGTAAGCAATATTATATGAAATTGAAACCAAAGACAACTCCATTTTTATAAGTTTAATAAACACCATATGTCAATTCATATATGCTACTGTTTTTCTTTTAAGGAAGATACATTATATTTATAAACTTTTGAATTGTCTGGATATGCGGAGGTGTAAAACTTACTCTCGTTTAGATTGATCAAGAATTGCTTCTTTTGATATCAGAATGAAATTTCCCTTTAGGCTGTGAATCCAGTTTGGATGAGAATAATGACATACTCACCTTAAGACATTGCTATTTCTCAAGGACATTGCCATTTCCTATTTACCAGGAAAGTTAAAAAATTTAGAGATTTAAAACCCTAACATAAACTGAATGATAATATTCTTCATCCTCCCCAAATTACCAACTTCTACCTAATCACCATCAGTATAACAATATTACATTTGATGCACTCGTTACAGTACATTCCTAAACATAAACATTTACATTCCTAAACATCCTTGAAGATTCATTCTTTTTTTTTTTTTAATTTTTTTTTCAAGGTTTATTTATTTTTGGGACAGAGAGAGACAGAGCATGAACGGGGGAGGGGCAGAGAGAGAGGGAGACACAGAATCGGAAACAGGCTCCAGGTTCCGAGCCATCAGCCCAGAGCCTGACGCGGGGCTCGAACTCACGAACCGCGAGATCGTGACCTGGCTGAAGTCGGACGCTTAACCGACTGCGCCACCCAGGCGCCCCGAAGATTCATTCTTAATGATTGACCTTGTGCTCCTTAAAATATTTTACTCTGCCTAAATTCCAACTTTAATTTCTTCTCCCTGAAACCAAAGAATCTTACCACACCATCCATCCCCAAGTTTTAAGCATAATTGGCCCTAAATTCATAGTAAATGATAAGAAAGAAAATACTATTAGGAAAATCATGATGATACAATCCTAATGTATAATTATCTCATCAAATAAATAGAAAACGTTCCATACTTTTCTGGAGAAGGCCCTATTCAAAAAACATCCTGCAAACAAATAAGGCTATAATTAATCATTTTTCTTAAGGGACTCCAATATACCCAGAAGCAATTTGATCATCTGATAGCCTAATAGGCAAAAGCCCAGAACCTGATTGTCTAGCAGCTAGAACTAGTAGTGGAATCTAATTCAATAGCTCAACAGAAGATAGGACTACTAATCTGGCTCTAAGCTTTCAGGTAAATAGATTTTGGTGATTTTACAAAGAACCTCAACTGGTCCACTGCAATAAGATGTCTTCCTATGGTTACAAAGCTAGTTATTGTCTTTTCAAAAGTGTTCAGAGAATGTTGATAAAATGATTTTATAGGACAAAAGTGAGTTCATCAAACCTGCATTGATACGCCACCCCTTTAAAGCCTCCTTTTGTTAATCTAGTATAATGGTCTCCCGCTTTAACTAGGCTCCCTTTCTCCAGCCCTTCACTGAAAAGAACTAGTATATAGTATTGGCTTTTTAATTCATATGGTCACTAATGGTTTTGACAAGCATAATCATCCTATGAGTGAACCAATAAAAGTGAGTTACTGAATGTATAAAACCAAAGATTACAGCAAAGATCAATGTGCTGTAATCAAGGTGAATTGTTCCATAGACGCTACTAGAAACAGTCTCCAACTGTGTCCAAACCAAATGCATTACAAATCAGAACAGAATCACTAACATCAACTTTCTTCTCTTAAATAGAAAAATAGGCCCAAGATTAAAATGTTACAATTTTTAGTTCTTCAAAATGAATTATGAAAATTATTTGTTAAAATGCATGCTGCTGTCTTACGTGTGACCTTAAAAGTTCTCACTCTGACAAGTCTGTGAAATAGAAACTAAGGCTGCCTCAGCCACATTTTAGACCTACCCAATTAGATTCTCCAAGAGTGACACTCACTGACAGATCTTTAGGCTGTGGCTAACTTTTGTTGTCACATCATGTCATCTACTTTTGTTCCTCTATCTAGTATTACATTCACATTAACATTTCTGAACACCACATGTTCTCTAAGCACTGTGCTATACACACTTTTACATACAGTTTCATATACATTAAGATCTGGATTGACATTTTAATATTTAACAACTTTGATATGATTCATAAGACACAAACAAAATGTTTTAATATTAATAGGAATATACTATAACTTACAGTGTTACTTATTTAGTTCAATACTGACAGTGTAGGTAGGCAGGCTTCAAATAGTAAACAATTATGCTACTGTTTAACATTTCAAGCTAAAGCTATCAGCATGAGTTTAATAATCCAGGCTAAAATTGTCTTCTGCACTACAAGTAGGAGATTCCATTTAAAGAATAATTGTCATAATTCCATTTCCTGAATTCTTCTAATACTTCCAATATTTCTTCAAATTTCTGAGCTTTAAATATTGATTTCCCAAACTTATCAAATGTGATAAAACAAGTGAATATTGAAGATCAAACTAAAACACCATTTGGAGGTGATTTTTGTTTAGACTATTTCCCTTAACTTCAGAAAGCCTCTGGGCATAACTGAAAAATCCTGTTTTTTTTTTGTTTGTTTGTTTTGTTTTTTCCCTGTACCATGTGTTAAAGTTTAAGTGCATTACACAATTGAATTGATTGACAATTTTTAGAAGATTAATTAGCATCCCAACAGAAATTTAACAGAACTTTTCATTAATGCCTTAATCTTGATAGTACCAATTTCCCTCTCAACACTTTGAACTCCCAGAGATGGCTTCTAAATACAGAGCCTCTATTTACTTAATGGAGCTTTGCACCACTGAGAGTAGCCCTGTGGGGTGCTGGGGAACTCAGAGAAAGACGTGAAATGGGCTGCTTGCGAATAAGAATGCAAAGTAGGCCCTCTCAGCCTTGCAGGTTTTCAGCACTATGTGTCCCTTACCCTGATTGCAACTTCAGCAGAGTGGAGTGGTTTGTTTGTTAAAATAATGAATAGTAGATGGCATCCATTTTAGTGGAAAGTTTTAATTTGTGATTCCCTGAGGCTGTGTGAAATAAAACACTCTTATTTATTCCCGTAAATGAAGCCAAATTACTTCTGGAATTTCTTCTGAGAAAGACCATCTAAGAACACTGATTTGACATATTAGTCTGTGAAATAAAACATTTAATGAATGCACTTTTGTAGTGAACATTATTTCTATGAAGATTATTTTTATTTCTGAAGTATGTTCTTATCTGATTAAGTTTTTGCTTTTAAAAACGGATGAAGTATATCATGAGTTTTAAGCTTGCCTCAGAAGCTTAGAAAATAAAAATCCGACCATTCTGTCTGATTTTACATCTCTTTTATTTTTTTAAAGTAAGCCCTACTTAGGGCCCAACATGGGATTGAACTCAGGACCCTGAGATCAAGAGTCACATGCTCTACTGACTGAGCCAGCCAGGTATCCCTAATTTTACATCTATTTTAGTTAAAATACCAATTATTTCTGAAAGCAATTATTAGCACCACAATAACACCTTATTAATAAATTTCAATAAGCAATTTAAGTGCATTAAATAATAATGTGTGTTTGGAAGGAGGAACTAAAGTTTATCCTTGCAAATTCTAGAAAGAGAAATATGTTAAAAATCAGTAATTTTAAGGTTAGAGAAAGATTTAAATTGACCAGGAGAACAAAGCATTTCAAAACTCTCAAATACTTAAGAAATCTGTATGATAAACACTTGATATGCAATTTATCAAATCTTATCTCAATGATTATAAAAAATACTTGGTTAACCCATTCCTTATACCTGAAATAAATTAAACAGTATTTACTTAGTGATAAAGATACTCATTTACATTTTAGAAAATTACTAAGTGCCTGGTACAGCTCAGGTACTGTTGTAAATCCCGACAAACTGCTGAGCACAATCACTTATAATCCCTGTCCCAGTGGAACTAACAACCAAAGGCAGGAGTGGGGAGGGGTGGGAGGACAGAAAATAAACAAGACAGCAAATAATTAAATTAAATAATGTCAGATAGGTAAAGGGTTAGAAAAAAAATAAAATTGAGTAATGGATAGAAAGTGAAGGGGAAAGTTGCTGAAGGAAGGCTAACATCGTTACTTCTAGGGTGGTGACTGAGCTGACACATCCGTGGGAAAATGGGGAAATTGCAAATCCAAGTTGAGAACAGCTTACCTATAGACCACTAGTATATAGGAATAGAAATCTAACATAAAAAAACAGACCTTCCCCTACCATTTATGGAGTCCAGGGCAAGAATACAAATGAAGGCTCACATACGACAGGCCTTATATTTATAAGTTCTAACTCGAGATAACAAGCTGGTAAAGGAAATATATTCCAACCTCTTCCTTTGACAATATTACCTTCACCAGAATGTAGTGATATGAGTGAGCAGTCTGCCTTCAGCTCCTGACCTAGCCTGCTCCTCTCCTCGGGCTCAAGTCTATACTGTAAGGAACCTTACCCACCCACATGTGTATACCTTATGTTTAACTTCTTGGAAGTATTCAACACTGAAACAGCCTTTTACCTTGGTTTCCACATCAACATTTTTAGTTTTCCACAAATTTCTTTAACAATTCTTCTGCCTCCACTCATGCTTTAAATATTTTATTTCTTAAGGCTCTGTTTTAAGTCCTATCCTTTATTACTTTGCACATCTTCCCTACGTGACCTAATTCATTTCCAGGACTTATTGTCAGCAGGCCTGTATCTATTTCCCCAATGCCGTGTTTTTCCCTAAGACTGTTTGATAATTACACCTGGAAGTCTCTCAAGTCCCTCTACTCAACATGTCTAAACTGATTTCTTTATTTTTTTCTCCCCCAACCTTGTTCCAATCTTTCTCTGCTTCTGTAAATAGCACCCTTCCTATCCAAGTTGCACAAGTGAGAAATTTGTGAATTCTTCACATTGCCCTTTTCTTTACTTCCTTTCTCCACATCCAATCACTAATTCTACCAGTTCCATTTCCCCAGTATCTCTCA